TATTCTATGAAGGAGATGCTCAGTTTGCAGCAGACAGGAAAAGGCCCAGACTGTACAGCCAGTGAGGTTATTTCTGGGGACAGAATACCTGCTGATGCAGGCTCTTTTCTCTTCATTTGTGCAATGACTTCTTGGTTATCAACTTGACTACATCTGGAATTAACTAAGACCCACATATGGAGGGCACATCTGTGAAGAATTTTTGTTTAATTTAAAGTAGGAAGATTCACTTCTAATCTGGATCTTTGAGGTAGAAAGACATGCCTTGAATCTAGACCTTTTGAGGTGGAAAAAGACATGCCTTTAATCTGGATTTTGAGTTGGGAAGACACACCTTTCAACCAGATCATTTGAACTTAGAAAATCTACCTCTAATCTGGGTCACATCTTCTTCTGGAAGCCTAAATAAAGACATACATTCATATATAGTTTTATCATATATATTTTATATAGATATTTATATATGATTATATAATATATTGTAAAGAAATATATTTCTAAATTTATATTCATAAAATATATTTATTGTATAAAATCTATTAAATATATTATAAATAAATATAAATTATCATATATATATATATATATATTGGGGTCATTTTATAACTTCTGTTTTCTAGAGAATCTTGACTAATACAATCTGAAAGCAAGCTAGAAGCATTTGGCCAGTCTCTGAAATGAGAAAGAGGAGGAGGAAGAGATGAAGGAGGAAAATAGGTGGAGGAGGTGGTAAAGGTGGTAGAGGAAAAGAAATGAGGAGGAGGTGATGGGAGTAGAGGAAGTGGAAGAGGAAGGCAGGCTAGAAGACAGTCCCAGAAACAGAACCCCTGAGTTCTTAGAGGAAGCCACACAGGGCATCTGTCCATTTGTCCTGCTGCCCTGCCCTGTAAGTAAGAGTCACCTTGAAACCTCAGAATCCCAAGAGAATAATTTCCTGGGCCTGGTAAGCTCAGAAAGCTGGAAACATTGTCTTCCCTACAGACCCAGCCTGAGAAAATGGCTCTATAATCCTACACTCATGCCTCAAATCCCTTAATATTCTAACATTGATCTTCATTTTCCTTTTTAAAAAAATGTTTTATCCACATATGTTAATTATATGCAATAATATGATTCATTATGGCAATTTTATATGTGTACATAATGTGTTTCTATCATATTCATCCCTACTACCCTCTTTTGTGTTCCTCCTCCCAACAGTCCCCTCCTTCTTCCCAATTAGCCCTACTTCTCTTTTCTTCTCTATGGCCCAATGAGTTTCATTAGGGTTGTTTACAGGAGCAGGGAAGAGTTTGTTTACAGAACTATGTGCATCTTACCACTGGCTACACCACTGAAGACAATCTCTCTCCTTGCCCCATTACCTGTTCCCTATGGATAAACCACAGACCATGTTGGGTCTTACAAGCCCCTCCTCTTTCCATGACAGACCCAGACTTGTAGAGATATTGTGCAGGTCCTCGTATTTGCTGTGGATTCAGGAGTGCAGCATCAGTGTCATACCCAGCAGTCGGTGATCCACACTGCTTCCCCATGCCCATTTTCTCTGACTCTTATATTCTTCCGACTCCTTCCATGATGTTCCCTGAGCTCTGGAGAAGTTGTAGATGTCCCCTTTATGACAAGGTTTTGAACAGCATTTTTTTCTCTAAACTTTGAGTCTCTGAAGTCACTACTGACCCTTACAAAAAGATGTTTCTCTGACCTAAACCAAAGCTGACAGCAGCAGAAATGTAGTCCCTATGAACAGAAACATAGTTATTTAGAAAACAATAAAGCAGACACAATCCTGTCCATTTAGCAAAACAACAGCAGTAGCTTCTGCATTAGGACATATGGCCCCCCTAGCCACTGGCTTTTGACTAAGCATACAGTAGCAAACAGGAGTCTCACCTGTGGAGTAAGCTCAAATCTGTCAGAAAGTTGGTTACCCCCCAAACAGAGTTGCCACTGTTGTACCAGCTGACTCTCCTCACTTAACCAGTTGATACTTGTAGCTGCAGGCCGCTTGTTCATCTGGGCTGCCCGGCTATCTCAGACCCGAAATAATCACACAGAAACTTTATTAACTAAATCACTGCTTGGCCCATTAGCTCCAGCTTCTTATTGGCTAACTCTTACATATGAATTTGACTCATTTCTATTGATCTGTGTATTGCCACGTGGCAATGGCTTACCAGCAAAGTTTTCAGCATCTGTCCTGGCAGGCTCCATGGCTTTTCTCTGACTCTGTCTTCCTCCTCCCATGCTATAGGCCAAGCCAGTTCTTTATTCATTAACAATAAAAGTAATGCATAGACAGAAGGACCTCCCACAACAGATACTGTTGAACACCCTGTCCACAGCTAAGCAAGATAACTGATGGCAATTCTCTCCCAGCAGCACTAAGGAAGAGTATTGTTTCCCAATTTCTCTATCTCCTTTTACTGTGGTTTTTCTTTCAGGAATCAAGCCAGATAGTTTTTCTGACTGATAAAGGCTAGATGCACTTGTTTCTTTTAGAAGAAGTAAATAGTTGCAATGCAAATTCTTCACCTTTCTATTCTTGGTAATGGTGGGGATTCAATCAGCCAAGTCTGGCCAGAGATTTCTGTCACCATGGTGAAGAAGACTCATTATTTCTGTCCACCCCACCCTCAGTGCCACTGCTCTGTCTCCGGGTCACAGACCTCAGCCTGGTCCTTCTCGTTGAGCAGCTAGTCCCTGACACAGATCAAACTGTTGATCACACCTGCAATTTCATGACTGCCAACACCCATGCAGAAGAGAATCATTCCTATTCAATTGTCCTGTAAACTGAAGCCTGGTGATGTGAGACCTGGAGCAAGAGATGAGTCAGCTTCAGACCCAGGAGCTATGAATCTCAATTCAATGTTTCCACAACAGCACAACTTCGGCTTGGAAACTAAGGTAGGCAGTGAGGAAAGCTTCAGGGCTGCTTCTAGACGAGTCTGAGGTTTGTGTGAACAGAGATAAGTCAGCTGACTCCTTGGCAGTCTATGCAAATTATTAAATGAAGCCATACCAGACACAGAAAGACAAGCATGTCATGATCCCACTCCTGGAGAATCTCAAAAGTTGATCTATTGAAGTCGGTGGTTATCGGAGGCAGGTGAGAATGGGAAGAGGAGAGATGGAGAAAGGCTGATTAACTGGCTCCAAGTCGTGCTGAGACAGAAGTAAAGCTTCCAGGGGCACAGTGGGGTCGCTGTGTGAAAGCAACTCCATGCTGCATATTTCAAAACAGCAGAAAGGAGTCTCGGTATTTTCACTATATCAAATAATAAGCGTTCCAGGGAGTGTATATAACCCAATTTAAATATAACATTATGTAAACATGTTCCAAATATCACCTAGTACACCATAAATCCATGTATATTAAAACCATCGTTAAAAACAAAGTTAAACTTAATGAAAACTGGGGAAGAGTTCAAGTAATTCACTTGAAAGCCAGGCACTAAAGCTCTGCGTGAGATTTCAGAGAAGAGAGGACTAGAAGGGATCAGAGATTTTCTTTTCTGAAAGAAGGCAAGACAGCGTCCTCCTCCAGCATGCGCTCATCCTTCAGTTGATTGGTCTGGTCCTCAGAGGAAGCCCGCCGACTCTGAAAATGATATGTTAACCATGTTTACAGCATCACTGCCCATCTTACAACAACAGAGAAACAAGACGGGTTACACATAAGGGCCAGCAGTTCCTTTTTAACCATTCTCTGCCTATGATGGCAGAAGGGAATGGAAGGTCCTATGATATGATGGCCTGACTTTCAGAACCACAGCCTGAAGGTCCAGTGAGATGGCTGATCTCTAATCACCTGACAGTGTTTAAAGTCACCTAGGAGACACATGTCTGAGTGTATCAAAGGCATTTCCAAAGAGGTTTAACTAAAAAAGGAAAATTTACTCTGAATGTGGGTAGTACTGCCACATGTGTTAAGATCCCTTAATAAAAAGCCAACTAAACACTCTTTCCCAAATGACCCTGTCTGCCCAGCAACCACCCAGATATGAGCAGGTTTCTGCTGCCACGCCTCCCACCATGATGAGCTGCTCCCTCACACTGCAAGATGAAATAAATCCTTCTTTCCCTGATGTTCCTTGTAAGATGTTTATTTTGGCTTGGCTTGGTTTTTTGTTTGAACAATAAGACAATCAACCATTACAGAGATTGACACCACAATGTGGAGCCATTGTCCACTGCTGTGTATCTTGTCCATGTGATTCACAAGCCTTTGAAACCGGCTTCCAGGAAGAATGGGGAAGATTTTGGAGACGTGGCTAGAAAAACCTGAGGCTTCTGGGAGCAGAGCTGAATGGGAGAGTCTGGTGAAGTTCGAAAGACCAGGTAGGGATACGTGCAGCGGGACCTGGGTGCGTGGGGTTTCTGAGTGAAACAAGGGCCCTGTTGGGAACCAGAAGCCACTTGTATTGTACTCTGGAAACGAATCCAAAGATTAGCAGCAAAGCACTGGAGGCAAGGAGAGGCCAGAAAGTGCCTCCTCCCTGTTTCCCAGGGTCGTGATCCTGCCAACACCCTGACTTCAGACATTTAGACTCCAGAAATGAGATAAAGTATAAACTACTCACTACAGAAAACTACCAGAGTTGGGGTGTAAGAAACCCAATAAATGGCACTGGAGAGTGGGTTCAGAGGTTAAAATTAGTGGCTGCTCTTCAATTCCTCGCACCCACAGGGCAGCTCACAGCCACCTGTCACCCTAATGCGAGGAGCTCTAGTTACAACCCAGACCCCCAAGGACGTCAGGGATGTGTGCGGAACACAGACGCACATGCAGGCAAAAAAAAAAAAAAAAAAGCAACTCATACAATAATATCATACAATAATAAATATTTAAAAAGAAATAAGAAACCAATTAAGATGGTGAAATAGCCAGGAACTGGCAGCACCCTGGGTCTGAAATGTAGCCAGAAGGAACTTCGCTAAAACCAGGAACTGTGAGAGAGCCGTATTCTCAGTGGAGGAAGGCAGCCTCTGCCAATACCAGCCCTGCAGAATGAAATCTGGACCTCACTTTCTGATCCTCCAGACTCCCTTCTCCTCCTGAATCTCATTGGACAAACCAGAGGGGTTGCCAAGTAGCAAAGGAAGCAGGTGGGTGCAATCCATTAAAGTCAGTCTGCCGGTAAGAACAGTGGACAGCAGACTCACTGCCAAGTCCATAGTCGCCTGCCATCCCTTCTAGCCAGAACCTCTCCTGTGCACCAAGCTCTCAGGATCTTTCTGTGTCTCCTGGATACTCACCACTGCTGTGATGAAGGAACTGACTAGACAGATATCTGAGTGATATCTGGCTGTGATGCTCAAACATAAGCACCATGAGAAAGGAGACCACATCTGTCATTCTTCAGTAACTCTTCAGGGTGGGGTACACAGTAGAATGCCTAGACTTATGTACCGAGAGCTAGTTAGCCTGGCATGAAAAGACCAAGCATTAAACCCAGAGAGCTTGCCTTTGGCAGTGAGCAGCATTCTACCTTTCGTGGGAACCCTAATGAAATACTCTGCAATAACATACAATGTGTCCATCCTCAGCATCCTTACATCCTTCAGAATTCATGGATACATAGATATTGGGGTCAAGCGAAGGGCAACAGCATTGACTGAGCAGCTACCACAGGGCCAAGCAAACTTGAACTATTTCTATCTAAATTTCCCCCAGGGCAGTCTGGTCCCAGTAACATGGGATGGGTAATCAGTACTTAGGGTGCTGTTTTCAACACTGTCATTGGAAATGTAGGTCCTGGATCCATTCAAACGCTGTGGGAGACCCCGTTCTTGCTTTCTTATTTGCCACAGACTCAATTCCAAGTTTTTCCTGCACTCTCTAATTCCTATTATTAATTGACCTGTTTGACCTCAAAGGTAATGGTTTTCAGCTTCCAAAGGGCAAGTTAAAAGAATTCAAACATCCCCCTTTCTTAAAGTCAGTGGAAATTTAGTTTGCCATAATCTGGGATATAGTGATGGTATCTTTGTTTTTTAATTACAACATTTCTCCCTTCCCTTTCCTCCTTCTGAATCTTCCCATATACCCCTCCACACTTTTCTTCCAATTCAAACCCTCTTTTTTATCAATTATTATTTTATTAATATATGAGCCTGTATATACATAAATGTTCCTTGTATGTATGTTTTCAGGACTGACCATTGGCACTGGACAACCAACTGGCAATTCTAAAAATTTTACACTATTTTTCCTAACTCAGCACAGGTGACTCTGAAGAAGGGAGAGGAGGAGGAGGACAGATAAACTCAGTGAAGATCAGGAAATGGCTCAGATTGGGAGAGGATGTCTCGCTGAGTTGTGCTTTTACACAAAGGTGAATTATCCTTGCCCAGCTTTGCCCAGAGGGAATCTGCAGCACGCACAACAATCATTACAGCATCCCCAGTCACTGCACACACATCGATCTCCCCCTTTGATGTTTCTTTTGATTGCATTGTAAAAGTCAATGCATCTTCTTTATATTAGCTGTTAACATCACAGCAAATGGTCCAGCATGTACATCTAATTAAAAATGAAGTAACTATGTCAACTTTTACTTCTAGGGAAGGAAATGAAACCTTGCTATCAAGTCATCAGTCCAATAAGCTGCCTCGGCCACCTCTCTAGTGGCCTGACTTGGTCACACTGCAGATCTTGAAGGTGGTTTAATCATCGCATCACCGGGAGGCAGGCACAGCAAGCCTCCATGCTTGGAAGGAGATTCTTCTGAGCCAGAGTATAGTGGTGCACACCTGTAATCCCTGCCTTGGGAAGCTGAGAGAAGAGAAAGAAAACTTCAGGGTGTTTACCTGAATAAAAGGGAAATGTTCCGATGAGAAAGAGGGAGTGGGCAGCTGTAAATAAGAGCTGACTTTCTCGGGTGCAAGTTGGCCACAGAAGAAGCAGGGTGTGAAAGGGGAAGAGACCCCAGCAATCAGGGAAGCCCTGTGCGGAACCCCAAGAAGAATCTTCTTCCTTGCTCATCTCATCTTCCGCAGATTATTCACAATCCAGAGCTGAAAAACCAAGCAAGATTAAGAAGCCAAGAGGTAGTGGGCAGTGGTGGCACACACCTTTAATCCCAGCACTCGGGAGGCAGAGGCAGGCAGATCTTTGTGGGCTCAAGATCAGCCTGGTTTACAGAGTGAGTTTCAGGACAGCCAAAGCTACACAGGGAAACCCTGTCTGGAAAAACTTTTTTTAAAAAAGGAGGAGGAGGAGGAGGAGGAGGAGGAGGAGGAGGAAGAGGAGAAAAAGCTGCCAAGAGGCACCCAGGGTCTTAGGACCTGTTAGTTATAGACAGCGCCTCCATGAGATTGTCTCAGCCTCAGTCCTTACCCTTATGAGGCCCCTCTATGCCTTGTCTTTCAGGAGACACAGAAGAAGTGCTGACATCTCAGGTTGGCAGTCGGGTATCCTGGGGAGCCTCAGGTACTTCATAGAAGGAAACACTTGTAATTAACTCG